ATGTAAAATACCTATCTTTTTTTCTTGTCGTCGATCTTAATCGGCTCCACAGTGCTTGTTATCTCGGCGCAACCTCCGGTGCAGCCGTTTGATTTTATAATCACTCGGCGCACTTGCCTTATTATTTTTTTCGATTTAAAAAACTCGGCGCATTCGCATTTCCCACGGTAAAGCGGTTCATAAATCGGGCAAAAATGCGTGCCGTATGGAGGTAACCTGGGGCGATTTTTGGAGATAGTTACTGACCCCAGAGATATTGTATTGGGCTCACAAACTGCCTTGCACGGTGTCTATCATAAACATTTTATTGGCGGCTGCGCTGTGATTCAAAATCTGTGGGGATGGTTCCTGACCACTGATATCTTGCTAATCTATGCATGTAGGCTGTAATCAACCAAATCTGAGACGGGCGGAAAACAGCCTGTTTTCCACCCTGGGGCATGGATAGGCCGTGTCCCACGTTCACCGTGGCAGTGTCACGACGCGCGTTCTGACCCCCTGCCGAGCTCGCCGAAGTCCCACGATCACCGTGGCGGCGAGCAATCCTCCCGGCAACATCCCCACCAAAATATTGGTGGAGTAATGCCCACAGCTCCTTAAATCGCGAAAATATTCAGGGAGGTACCCATCACAATTACGAAGAGGCGTTGTCAGACGGTGAGTAGCAATTCAGTTGAGAACTGTCGAGAAAAACGGACGGTGAATTATGAGCATCATTTCTTTCGATTTAAAAAAACGATTGTTCGATGAATACTGCAATATATGAAGCTTCTAAAATCTTGAAAAAATGGCCAGTGGGAGGGGATTGGCGAACATGAGTTTTTGAGATACCAACCGTGGGAATGTGATTGCTGGATAATCCTCCAGGTCCTTCTCACCGTTTTAGGAGGATATGATGAATTACGGAACGACTACCAATATAAAGCGAGGTGCGAGAATACTTCTGGATTCAGTACTCCTGGGGCTATGCACTGACACCCCAAACATCCGAAACTGAGACGCCCGGAGGTCAGCCTGACCTCCTGGCTGGGACAGGGCTAGAGCGGCTGCTATCGCAGTTGGCGTACGTACATCTGCTTCCTGTGGAAAAGATGCTGACAAGGAAGGGACTAGGTTTCTCGCCTTGCACTCGAGGAGGAAAAGGTTCGGCTCGCGAATGCGAACAAGAAGCGGGTACGTGGCTCTACCAAAATCAAGGGCCGGATTGTTGTCGCCCAAGAGCTTAAGGCTCATTTTGAGGAGGAAGAACGTGTTGCTGCCGAGAAGGAGAGGGAGGCACGCGAGAAGGAGCATGCAAAAGCTGTTGAAGCCGCCGAGCGTGAGGCTCGTATTGTACAGGCTGCATCGTCAAGGGTTTTCAACCAGCCACTGAATGCCTACAGAACCAGAGAGGACGTCCTCGGGCTGGCGCAGGCACTGCACGTCAACGACAAGGGCCCTGTCCGGGCAATCATCCCAAGGATTCACATCTCGAGACACACCAAGATCTTGCTTCGAACCCTCGCTTCGCAGGCCTATTCAAGCTCTCCAGATGCTCCGCCCATGGAGCCCGCCCCAATTCCACACCACATCCAACACCTCTAGAGACAACATCAAACAGAGCCTTCTCTGATTGCCCGGGGTCGTCAAATCCAAACGTACTTGTTGCGAGGTTTGAATCTTAATCACTACGGTACAGGCTCATATCATATTGTGAATTTCTTTCATTATTGTTACCTGCACATACTATTCATTACGCGTGCATCTTCGTAATCGACCGCAAATTTCAGCTTGACGGCGCGACGACGAATCGGCCACCTCGAGCGGAGTACGAAATCTTTGAGCGCGGAGGTGTGACGTGTGTGTGACTGGCCGATTCGACCATCCGGCCGAAGAGACGATATCATATAGTATGTGTATATTATTAGTGTAGTGTACATGATATTGTATGATTCCCTGTAATTCGCATCCCGTTCCATGCAATTCAGCTGTATCCGCTCTCATTCTCTCGAAAGTGAATGGTTTGCAACGTAGCGAATCACGCCGAATCAGCTGACAGGTTCGCTGCAGTTCCTGCTCGTTTCCTCCGATTCTCCGGACTTTCCACTGGGCTTGAGCTCCGTTGAGCTTCAGACCGCTTATGCTGCCACTCCGTGCGTTGCGCCCTGGTCTTCGCCGGCCACTGGTTGCTCGGCATGGCGTTACTGCTCAGCGAAAAGCATCGACCTCGAGTAGCCCCGTACCGTTCGGTTTGCGTACGGGCATTTACGCGACGGCCTTCGTCCTGTCCTCCGGTCTATTCGCCATATACTACTTTGACTGTCGATCGGCGCTGCATAGATACATCTTGACGCCGCTTTTGCGGTATGGGTTGGATGCGGAGAGTGGACACAAGCTGGCGGTGAAGGTGCTGAAGAGCGGATTGGCTCCTAAGGATCCCGTTCCGGACGACGTCGTGCTGGAAGCGGAGGTTCGTCGCTATTTCGTCCTGGATGAATCCTCATAGACGAGCATGAAGGCAAATCACAGATATGGGGCACGCGTTGTTCCAACCCGGTTGGCTTGGCCGCTGGGTTCGACAAGGACGGTGAAGCGATCGACGGTAAGCACGAGCGAAATCTGTCTCGTCCTTCACGAGCCTAAATCATTCGTTCAGGTCTCTTTGACCTTGGATTCAGCTGGGTGGAAATTGGAAGCGTGACGCCGAAGCCGCAGGTGCATACAATGCCCCGAAGTATGGTGCACGAACCTTACTCACTCTTTCTGATTCTATAGCCTGGAAATCCTCGTCCACGCGTGTTTCACCTCCCAGAAGACGATTCACTCATCAATAGATACGGCTTCCCTTCTCAAGGACATGCAGCAGTAGTCACGCGACTGAGGGCTCGTTCTGTCGACGAAGAGCCTGTCAGCGAAGCCGCGCCCGCATCATTACGACCTGGCTCCCTACTTTCCGTCAACCTCGGCAAAAACAAGGAATCACCACTCGAATCCGTCGACGATTTCGTGGAGGGGGCGTTCAGGTTTTT